CATTTAAAATCCTTCATAACCTGTCCCTAACCTACCTTTCCAGCCTTACTACACATTACTTCCCTCCACACACTCTATAATCTAGTCAAACTGGCCTTGTATTTCTCATACATGGCACGCCATCTCTTGTCTCCATGACTTTGTCTATCAAGTCTCTAATATATTTTCTCCTCACCTCTGCCTCTTAAAACCTGTTGTTTTCTAAAAGACTCAGCTCTTCGCCATCTTTTTGTTTTTGATGCAATTGGGGTTAAGGGACTTGCCTAGGGTCACACAGCTAACAAGCGACTGAGGCTGGATTTAAACTCAGGTCCTCCTAACTCCAGGACCAATCCTCTAACCCTTGGGCCACCTAGCTGCCCCTGCATTATCTTTTTCATGTAGTCTTTACCTATCCCCCCATCTCTTCCCAGAAGCTAGTGTCATCCTCCACAAATCACTTTGTAAGGGTTTGGGTTTCTTTTTTGACATATGTTTTATATATTGCAACATAGATACATGATAGAATTTAACTTTTACAAGGACTATCTCACTGTTGTTTATATATCCTTAGCATAGTTCCTAGCACACAGTAAGCACTTAATAAATACTTATTGATTGCTTTTTTTTCTTTTTGGTGAGGCAATTGGGGTTAAGTGACTTGCCCAGGGTTACACAGCTAGCAAGTGTTATGTTTCCGAGGCCTGATTTGAACGCAAGTCCTCCTGACTGCAGGGCCGGTGCTCTATCCACTGTGCCACTTGATTGCTTCTTTAAAGCAGTTGTGGTTTATTAGAAAGAGAATTGGGTTTGGAATCAGAGGAGCTTGGTTCATGGCCTACTTCCAAAACATGCCATGTGACCTTGGGCAAGTCACTCAACTTTTGTGAGCTTCGGTTTTCTTACCTATAAAATGGAGATAATAATGCCTATACTAGCTACTTCATAAGATTATCAGGATGATGAAATGAGAAGAATAATTTTAATTCTAAAGTAATTATCTCCTAATCAGCAGGTGTTTATTGTATAGGTTCAGGTCTCATTTAGTCTACAGAGGGCTGTGGACCCTAACCCAAAAGGCTTTATATTTCATTGTAGGTTTCCAAATAAGGGAAGAACAAGATCATTTTCAACTTTCCAACTTGTTTGGGTTCAAGGAAGTGCTTAGATTCTTTGTTTGCTCTTGTTTTTCCAGAATCTGGGTAGGAAGCTTGTTTAAAGCAACCAAAAATCTTGCCATGCCAACTCTGACTGTTTGGTAAAATGAATAGACAGAGACAGAGTTGTGCAATGTGTTCTCTAGGAATATATCAAAGACAGTTTATTCATTCTAGCAGCTCTGTGAGGAGTTCAGCTCCTTAGAGATAATGGATATACAAAGGCCATGGGGTGAGGTGGCAGGAGGTTGGATTTGGGGGGTCAGAGGACCCAGGTTTACATGCCAGCTCTGTACTTATGTGACCTTGGGCTAGTCCCTTCTTTCTCTGGGCCTCAGTTTTCCCTTCTGTAAAATGAGGAAGTTGGAATAGACCTCAGAGGTTCCTTGTAGATTTATGTCTTGTCAACTTCATTTACTGATTTAGAGTTGGAAGGGAAAGAAGAACACAGTGTCAGAGCTGGAAGGGGCCTTAGAAGTCAGAGTTCAACCCCCTCATTTAATGGATGAGAAAGCTGAGATGCAGACAGAGCATCTATTGTCATCATTTGGGAGGAGGGTGGAGAGACTATAGCAACTATGTTCATAGATGCCTTGAACTAGAATAATGTTGGCCTGCATGGAGAAACCAGATGAGAAGGGCCTAGGTGGGAATGCTTTATCTGTTTCAAGGGAAAAAACATAGGCAAAGGTCAGAAATTCCTTCTCGTCCTTCAGAAAGGAGAGTATCTAAAACTCAGACAGTAAAATGGTGCTGCAAAGCACGATGGGAAACCTTATTCCCTTATGTCTCCAAGGACATGTGAGATTTAGCAGGAATGGAAGCTTCATTACAGAAGTTGCAGCAGGAGGAGAATACTCCATAGTATCCAGATTTCATTCACCTCCACAAATCAACAAATATTTATGAAGCACCTACTATGTGCTGATCCTGGTGTTGGGCAGAGGATGCAATGGAAGGAAGGCAGCTGGAGGTTAAGGTTTAGAGATGGTGACAACTCAGATTTTGATTGTCCGACTCAAAGCCTGCTCTGACGGGAAAGCCAAACAAATGTAAGAAACAAACACTTGGAGTCACAAGACCTGAATTTGAGTCTGAGCTCTAACAACTGATTACCTGTGTGATCCTGGGCAAGTTATTAGGTTCATAGGATCATACATTTAGAGCTGGAAAGGATCTTAGAGGGCATCTAATTTAACTTCCTCATTTGTTTAAGGTCACACAGGTAACAGAAATGTCCCTGTGCCTCAGTCTCTTCATTTGTAAAATAACAATAATAATAACTCTCATTCCTCTAGCACTTTAAAATTTACAAAGCATTTTCCTCACAACACCCCCTTTGAGATCAGGAATGCAATTATTATAATGACTATGCCACTGAGAGCCTTAACTAGAAGTATCATCACCTGAGAAAAAAACAGTTTAAAATGGGTACAGGCCTGGAGAACAGACCATATGTGTTGACACATAAGGACAGGGAATAAGCACCTCTTATCACGGTGGGAATTTGGGGGTTAGGTGGTAAAGTAGACTCCCAAACTAGGGTGTCATAATGATGGGACCCTGCAGAAGGAAGTGGCCCTTAAGGCAGTTGTACCCCATACCACTCCTCTGCATCCCCTCTTCATGCCAGCACCCTTGTTAGTTATAGCTCTGACAATGTCTTCAAAGGCACCTCACTAGCATTTGCAAATGTGAGTTATTATTACAAACTAGCTATTGTTAAACTTTCTTGTCATTGGGGACCTCCCAGTTACTGAAGTTGAGTTCTTCCATAAAACAGATATTTTCATTGAAATGTCAATGATAGGAATTCAGTTACTTCAGCCCTCAGACTGGACCTTGAACCAAATGTGAGTTGGACCAATTGTTCTTTCCTCATCAATCCTGTGCCTTTTGCAACAGTGTCCTCTGAGGACTGTGGTTTCAGGGAGGGCTCAGCTCTCCCTTTAGTAGGTCCTGTTCTCCCAAAAGACTTTGTAAAAAGCAAGCTCTTAACTCAAAACACCAGGTGGACCACCTCAGATCTGGAGGAGGAGCAGCAGTCTTGGGAGATCTGATACCACTCAGTCTGAGGTTTTGTCACCAAATCTAAATGATGCAGGAGGATTTCAGACTGTTTCAGCAGCTGATGTCTGGAGATCAATTAGAGATAATGGCTTCTGGTGGACATGAAGGAGCATGTCCGATCTTTTGACTGGCAGTGATTGTTCTTCCTTCATTAATGTGTGCTTTTTCCTTTAGAGGATGGGAGAGCCCAGGGCTGCACTGTGCATTTGCACGGGTGTCTCATCCTAATTCCTTGTTGCTTAACTCAAGAGTGGCTTGGATTTGGGCCCCTCTGGTTGCTCCAGCAGAGACCCATTCAGGCTTGAGAGGCAGAGGTATGTTTTGGAGCTCTGTGTAGGGTCTGCCACTCACAATAGACAAGTCTGCCTGGAGCCACAGGCCCCCTCAACCAGGATTCTGAGTGGTTTGAAATAAGCTCCTGGTACCCCTTTCTTTAACAATGGAGAGCAGAAACCTTCCCCTATCCAATTTCTACCTCCAGTGTCCCATTGGGCATTCAAAGCCCCCAGCTCAAATACTCCTTTCCTGATCCCACTCTGCCCCCTCCCAAGTAGAAATGATCTTCCCCCTCTCTGACCTCCAAAAGCACTGTGTATACCCCTCTTCTGTGAATTATCATGTTCTGTTTTGTATCATAGTTACTTGTGTGTATATGTTCTCTCATGACTGTGAACCCAGTGTCTTCTTCCCATTTTTGTATCCCCTTCAAGATTGAGCTTTTTTTTTCTTTCTTTTAAAAAAATTTTGTTCCAGACCCATCATTTCATCATTATGGGCAAACACTCTTGGTATGGAACTGTCTCCACTAGTGCAGATCTGCAAATCCACTGAAATTTAGGGTCTTAAAGAATAGCTTTAAGGGCAACTGGGTGGCACAGTGGATAGAACACTGGCTCTGGAGTCAGGAGGACCTGAGTTCAAATTTGGCCTCAGACATTAGTTGTGTGACCTTAAGCAAGTCACCTAACCCTGATTGTCCCCCCTTCCCCCACCCCACACACAAAGAATAGCCTGGAGTGCTGAGTTTAAGGTAACCCCACGTCCACAAGGTCAAGGTATCTCAGAGGCAGGACTTGTATCCAAGCCTTGCTGACTTCCAGTACCAGCCTTCTCTCTGCTACCCTTTGGTGCCTGTTAAGATCATTATTAGGTGCTTAATGTGGGAAAGGCATTGGCCTGAGAGTCTTGTTTAGAATACGCCAATTCTGCTCCAGTTAACTCTGTAACTTCAGCTCACTCAGGGCCTCAGTTTTCTCCTTTGTTGTGGGGGGTGGGGCCAGGGGCACTAGGTCCCTTCCAGCTCGAACATTATCCCTTCCCCTTCATTGTGCCAAGGTCCTGCCCTACTCGATCATTAACTGTTCTAATATTCTGTGTTCTGTGAGAAGAGGTAGTGAGGTTGATGGTGAGGGTTGCACTTTTGACTCAAACTCTGTCCTTGAGTAAATCACTTTATTCATTTTCTTCAGGTTCCTCATTTGTATAAAGGAATAGCCATGGCTGCTTCTTCCCTCTTAGTCATAAAACCATGATGACTGAGGCAGCATACACATAATGTGGGAGCTGGAAAGGACCTTGGAACATGGAAAGCTAGAAGGGACTTGGAATGAGCTAATTGTGTAGGTAGCATGGCGTAGTAGAGAGAGGATTGGCCTTAAAGCTTGGGACATCTGAGCACATTCAGGCATCCTGACATACACTGGCCAAGTGAACTTGGGTAAGTGCTTGACCACTTAGTGTCCCCCCATTGGACTGGACTCTCTAAGACTGTTAAGCTATAGAGCAGTTACTTACCTGCATTGGTAGAGGGGAGTTCCTTACTAGGAATCCCTATATTAATGAAATCACAGGTCCAGGCCAAAATGTATTTTTCTGTAGAGGTACTGTCTGTCTTCTGTTCATTTTGCCTAGAGTCATCTTCTAAGTTCAGGCCATTATTTTTCTGTTTTGCTGCTGTACAGAGTAGCCTAGAAGAGGTCCAGAGTGAGAGAGTGATTGCCAGGAAAGTCTGTGGCACCAGACCTGAGCACTGTGCTGCCATGGCTAACCCCCCAGCCCCAACTTGGCCCCAATACTGCGCACTCACAACAGCATGCACATTTGTGTCAGCAGAGTCTCATCCCAAAATATATTTTAATATAGATGTTATATAGACATAATATGCATAATATAGGTAGATATTATATAACATATAATTCTATTAATTATATAATATAAAGTGCTTTTAGGAGGCAGCTAGGTAGCTCAATGGATAGAGTGTTGGGACTGGGAGATAGGAAGACCCAAGTTCAAATCAGCCCTCAGACACTAACCATGTGACCCTGGGCAAGTCACTTAACCCAGTTTGCCTCAGTTTTCTCATGTGTAAAATGAGCTGGAGAAGGAAATGGCAAACCACTCTAGTATCTCTGCAAAAAAAAAAATTCCATACAGGGTCATGAAGAGTTGGACAAGACTGACACAACTGAACATACCTAAAGAACGTTAAGGTTTGAAAAACATTTTTCAGATACTTCATTTGAGCCTCACAATTACTCTTTTAGGAAAGTGTTAGAGTTGTTTTTGTTCCTGTTTTTTTTTTTGCTTTTTTTTTGGGGGGGTGAGGCAATTGGGGGTTAAGTGACTTGCCCAGGGTCACACAACTAAGTGTCTGAGGCTGAATTTGAACTCAGGTCCTCCTGACTCCAGGGCTAGTGCTCTACCTACTGTGCCAGCTCGCTGCCCTTTGTTCCCATTTTAAAAAGGAGAAAACTGACCTGAGGGAAGTTACATGAATTGCCTGTGGCCACACAGCTAAGTGTTTGAGTGAGGATTCAAAACTGGTTGAATTGGGCTGCTCTTGACTCAGAGGCCAGTGTTTTCTCCTGAACGTAAAATACACAGCTTTATTGCACACCAGAAGGGGAAACAGGCCCAGAGAAGAGGGAGTGACTTGCCTAAGGTCACACCATAAATAGCAGACCAAGGACTAAAAATGTAGGCAGGAGAAACAGCATGAGCAGAGACAATTAGGCAGAAAAGCTCCCATGTGTATTCTGTGGATAGTGAGCTAAACTTTTGGGCTAGAGTAATGGGTTTGTGTGGAGTTAAGAGACAATAAGGAGGGCTTATAGGGAAATTGTGGAGGGCAAGGCCAAGCATTTGGCAAGTCTCCTATCTTGTTCATAGTAAGGAATGACATATGTGGAAAATTAATCTAGTGGCCATGGGCAGCTAGGTGGTGCAGTGGATAGAGCACTGAGCCTGGAGTCAGGAAGACTCATCTTCCTGAGTTCAAATCTGACCTCAGATACTTCCTAGCTGTGGACCCTGGGCAAGTTACTTCACCCTGTTTGCTTCAGTTTCCTCATCTGTAAGTTGAGCTGGAGAAGGAAATGGCAAACCACTCTAGTATCTTTGCCAAGAAAATCCCCAATGGGGTCACAAAGAGTTGGACACAACTGAAACAACTGAACAACAATCTAGTGGTAAAAAAAAATCTACAAAGTATTGTTATCAAATTCTTGATTTTGCTTTTTATTGACTATATTTATAGTAGGTAAGATTCTCCAATTCTTATATGGCTCTAGCACTTGATAGCTGTAGAAACTCTTGGCAAAGTGACTAAATCTTTCTGAGCCTCAATTTCCTCGTCTTTAAAATGAGGATTAATAATACTTATACCCACAAACTTGGAGAATTATTATGAGGAAAGCAATTTCCAAACTTTAAGGCTTTGTAGAACTGTGAGCTCCTACTATTATTCCATATTATTCCATATGTATGTTTGTGTGTATATATGTATATATATGTGTGTGTGTATATGTATATACATATACATATATGTATATATGTATGTATATATACACACACACATACATACATGCATACACATATATGACTGAAGGTCACCTGCTCCCTGGCAGAGCCAAGAGCCAATCACAGTGTTTTGTAGCTAGGAGTTAATCTTGCTTATGTCCTCTGCAGACTGGCAGAGGACAACTCAAGACCTTGACAAGTAGGGTTTGCTGTGAGCCATTAATACGTCTGCCATGTAGACAAACTGGGAAAATGTCAAACCGAAAGAGAGAACACATCTTAACTACATCAACAGAAGCCAACCTCATAAAGTGCCAGGATCATAAAGGCCCTCTAACGTTATTTGGCCCAATCCAGACCTGACCTCTTCTACATTATCTTCAGTAAGTAGTTAAGTGGACTCTACTTGCAGGCCTTTGGTAATGGAGAGCTCACAACCTCCTGAGGCAGTGAATTCTGCTTTTGAACATCTCTAATTGTTAGAAATTAACACTAGTCAAATGGGGGACAATGAGGGGGAGCAAGGATCCAGACCCCTGGGGACCAATGTTGAGTGTAATTAAGTATCAAGATCTAAGTTGATGCAATTGTACTGTAACCCAAGAGGAAATAACTAAGCTGAATAGGACCAATAGAAGGGAAAATTGGAACTAATGACCAGAATCATGGTGAAACTGGGCAGAATCCTTGGGGGGGGGGACTCACTAATGAATTATGCAGTAATAAGGTTAAGTTCATGGTCTTCTTTTAGCAGGAAGGAATGACTTGGTGGTCATACTGTCACCAAGGATCTTAAAGCAATTACATTTTATGGTCCTGAATATTGATATTCATCACACTCATTATAAAGAAGGAAGTATTTTTTAATTGATTCTTTTTCAATCACCAAAAATTTGACTTTTCTCCTTCTTACCTTCTCCCTCCACCCCTGGCCCTGGCCCCGTTGAAAAAGAAGGAAACCCCAAACTCTATTACAAACTTTTAGAGTCAAGCAAAACAAATCCCTGCATTGTACATGTCCAAAAGAAATGTACATCTCATTCTACACTATGAGTCACCTCTCTAGCTGGAGAAGGGTAGCATGTTTCATCATGAATCCTTTGGGACTGTGATTGGTATTTGTGTTGATCAGAGTTCCTAGGTCTTTTGGAGTTATATTTATTTACAATATCATTGTTATATAAAACGTTTTCTTGATTTTGCTCATGTCACTCTACCTCAATTCATACAAGTCTTCCCAGATTTCTCTGAAGCTGTCTCCTCCAACATTTCTTACAGCATAAGAGTATCCCATCACATCCACATGTTATCACTTGTTCAGCCATTCCCCAATTGATGAGCACCCCTCAGTTTCTAATTAGCAAATAAGGAATTGTGAAGGAGAAATACCATAAAGGATTTCATAAAAATATGGGATCAAAAAAGAAGAGGGGCTGGTCATGTAGCAAGAGTAAGGGATAGACAATTGATGAATAACCTACATGCTCCGCTGGCACCCTTAAGATATCAAGAGACTGTGAGGAAGGAATACAGCACATTGGCTGGACCCTCTGTGGGAAACTTATGGGAGGACAGGGGCAAAAGTTGCCCAGGTATGCACATGGATGGCTTTAGATCTCTGTGCTGGGACAGAATACCCATAATGAGATTTTAAACCTTCTATGGTGTAATCACTATGCTAAGCAGGTCACACAAGACCTACTGTCATAGAATGATTCTAGTCCGGGGGTTCTTTACCTGGGGCTTATGAACTTGTTTTTTTAAAAATTACTTTGAAAAAAATTACTTTAATAACTGTATTTCAGTGTAATTGTAACCCTGTGTGCTTCATTTTATACATTTAAAAACGTTACTCTGGGAAGGTTTCACCAGGCTGTCAAATGGGAGAAGTCCATGAAACAAAAACAAGTTTAGGAGCACCTGTTCTAGTCAATTCATTTCAACAAACATCTACTGAGTACCCACTGGGTAGAAAGTACTGTGCTAAGCAGGATACAAAGTTTAGATAAGATATTGTCCCTCCCCTCCTGGGGCTTTCATTGTGGGGGCTGGGTGGTATGTTACTTACAAAGGTCACTAGCTCACAAAGTTATCCAATCTTCTTGTTTTATAGATGAAGAAAATGAGTCCCAGAGAGAGACAAAGTTTCTTGTGAAAGGTTGCACAGTGATGGAGAAGTCTGTATTTGAACCTAGTTCTCCTGACTCTGAGTTCAAAGTTTTTTATCCATCTATGCTTCTAGGAATGCCACCTGGGCTTCTGTCACTGACTTACTTTTGTTTTTGTTTTTTCTTCTCGGATCCTCCAAATCTACAAAATGGCCATGTCACTCTCTGCCTAGTTCATGTGGATAGTGAGAGGATAAATTTCTTTTAAAGTGGAAAGTAGATGTCCTAAGTGGAAACAATTAGTAAGAAAAGTAGGAAATCATAGATTTTAGAGCTTGCTGGGCCATTAGTCTAGTACCCTCATTTCACAAATGAGGAAATGGATAGGTGGAGAGGAAATAATTACTTGCCAAAGGTCATACAAGTGATCAGTAGAAAGAGTTCATGACTCAAACCCAGGTCCTTGGACTCTGAGTCCTTTCTACTATAGCATACAGTCTCCTAATGGCAAATGCCTATTGCTGGTATCTCATTTCTAGAAGCTTGCCTTTTCATTGTCATGAGAATCTTTTACCTTTTCATTGTCATGAGAATCTTTTAATTCTAGTTGGTTCCAATACTAAATGCTTTGCTCACTGGCTTTTGCATTTAAGCCCCCACTATGTGCAGTGACTTTAGGTATCAAGAGATCAGATAGTATGCCTTCCTCTGAATATCAGGATCTTTTGATGAATAGGAGAAGCAGGTGCTCAAAGAAACTATCTAGTCAAGCATCAGACTGGGAGAGGAATGGGGACAGTGAATTGTTGAAACGACTTGGTATAGAGACCTGGTTTGGTGTCCCAGCTCAAGCCACTAACTCATCATGTCATCTTGGACAAATCCCTTCCTCTCTCCCAGCCCCTGTTTTCTCCTCTTTGAAATGAGGGAGTTGAATAAGCTGATTGAACTTTGCTTCTCTGTGATTCTATGTGAACATGGGGAAAGGGAAATTGGTTTCAAAACGCTTCAGGTTTCAGATTTACAAGGTGCTAATGAGAAAGGCAATAAAATGCTATTTAAAAGACAGGTGACTTTTATATTTCCTTTGGTTTTCCATGTTAATGTATTATTACCTTTTCATTTGTTAATGGTGAATTTTTGTTGTCTAATGTGCATTGCATTTCCAATTTAGATCTACAGAGGGAGCCTTTTTTCCCTTTTAAACCTTGAATTGTTAACAATGCAAACCTTTCAGGCACAAGAAAGCTCTTCACAAAGTTAGAGATCCACGTGAAAATGATACCAACCACTATAGTTTTTTCTTTTTTCTTGGATAATTCTAGTTTAAATATGTAGCCACTTCTGAAAGCCAAGTCAGTAGTGAGTACTCCTAGTTTTAGAAACCATAGACTATTGAAGCCTGAGGGATTTTAGAGATTATCTAGGCCAGCCTCTCTTATTTTACAGAAGAGAAAATTGAGGACCAATAGGGGAAGTAATTGGTGCAAGTTTATATATCAAATTTATGGCAGAGCTGGCACCAGAACCCATGACTCCTGATTCCATGCCCCACGCTACTTCAGCTATGCCACATTTCTCACCACAAGTCTGTTGCCCTGACAAAGAGGTGAGGTGGGATGAGGGTATCTCCTTGAAAAGAGAGGCCCTGAATTAGGGCAGGAAAGAGAAATTCTTTGATTCAGATTAAGACCTGAAACTTTAGGAGATACCTCTAGACCTCTCATAGCAGTTACAAAATAGCATATCCATAAATACTTATGTAGGCTATGGGGTCAATTTTATGAAGTCTTCTTAGTGATGAAATCACTGAGAGAAGCTTAGTTGTAATTCTGCTGTTCATCTCAGTACTGCCTGTATCATTTGTAAAGCTCTGAATACTGCCCATTTGCTTTGTTCTGAGCTTGGGTTGCCTCTAGCTAGAGTATATGTATGTGGAGGGGGAGGTGGTAGTGGTGCAGAATTTCTACCTTGTGTTTATTTAGGACTAACCTCCACTAGATTTTTTCAACTTTGGGGTAAATTTTTGGCTCCTCCGTGTGGAGAGTTTACATTTTCATCTTAATTGTATGTTCTGTTTTAATTCTGTTTCATTCAACAAACATTTCTTAAATGCCTTTTATGTATAAGACACGGTGCTCAGGGAAATAGAATGATAGATCAAGTGTTTATTAAGCACTCAGCTATGTGCCAGGCACTACGTTAAGTGCTGGAGGCATAAATACAAGTAATCAAGACAGTCCCTGCCCTCAAGGAGATTACATTCCAACCAGAGAAGGGATACTGGAAAGGGAATTATGCTACTGGTGCCATGTGAGGAGATATTAGGGAAGTGGTGTGGAGGCCTAGTCTCCAGCAAGATAAGGCAAAAAGCTCACCTCTCAGGGCTGGGAAACCCAGAGTCAGAATCTAAGACATGGCCCTTGTCCTCAAGAATTTATTGAGGGACATAGGACACACACACACACACCTCACTATAAAACAAAATAGAGCATCAGGTAGTGAAAAGAGTACTGGAATTGGAATCCAAATTATTTGGATTAAAATCCCAGTGCTGACACTTTCCTAGCTGTGTGACCATGGGCAAATCACTTCTCTCTGAGCCTGTTTCCCTATTTGTATGGGGATGTCACTCAAATTACTTACCTGAGAGCATATCTGTGAGGGAAATTGTTTTGTAAAGTGACACAGAAAATTGAGCTGCTATTATTATGACAAGCAGTCCAAACCAAGTGTTATTCAGGTCTGTGGAGGAAAAGCTCATTTCCAACTATGTGTGTGTTTGAGAAGTAAAGAGGCCAGGAATCAGGGAAGACTTCATGGATGAGGTGGCTTTTGAACCGGGCCTTGAAGGAGAGGTTTTGGGAAATATGGTACAGTGTTTCTATTTTATAGCATTTTAAAAAATCATATTCATTTTATCCAGGGACACTGGCTTTGATTGGACAGCACTGCTGTGGTTTTTGGGATTACCATGTTTCTGGATGGCATGTGTCTTTTTGTCTTTTTCTGATACTGTATCTCCGTGGACAGTGTGTGCTCCCTTCTAGGACATTATTACTTATATAGCACAAAAAATATACAATATTTAACAATTGTAGTGTGTACTAAGAACAAAACACTTTCTCTGAAAGGTTGGAGAGGGTACAATGTATAGTCCTCTCAAAAAATAAAAGGGACAAAAGAAGTGACAGATGTTTATTGGTGAGTCAGGCAGGGAAGGAGAGGAAAGATCTAGGGACTTTTTTGTCATTGCCTCTCCAGCTCGTAGCACTGTATCTGGTACGTAAGAGATACAATAAATATTTGTTGACTCATTGATTCACTCAGAGTCAAGATAGACCTGAATTTTAATCCTAGTTCTAACCTTTACTGTATTTTAGACCTTGAACAAGCCATTTAATTTCTCAGTGCCTCAGTTTCCTCATCTATGCAGGGGGGAATTCACTTCTCTCTTTTTTTAAAAAAGGGTTTTTCCCTCACTTCTCTTCTCCAGACCTCCATTTCTTCATCTATGAAGTGAGGGGGATAGACTAGATGAACTCTAAGATTCCTTCAGATCAAACATAGTGTTTTAAGTTTTCCCTCCTACCACTGACATTCCACCCAAGTTTCTTCATGGGCAGTTCCTTACACCAATGAAATTCCGGATCTTTTGTTGTTGTTGTTGTTGTTGTTTGGAGGCCCTTTTCAGCTCTGTCATTCCATGTTTTAAGATACTTCTAGATTTAAATTCCATCAAACCTAGACTATTACATTGCTGTCCTTCAAAGTATAAGGAACAACTGCACTGTGCTGTGAAAAAGAGTCCTGCGTTTAACGTCAGAGGACAGATTTGAATCCCAATTGTTATTCACTACCTATGTGACCTTGGACAAATCACTTTACCACTTTGGGCCCCTGTTCCCTCCTCTGTAAAATCAGGGGGTTAGTTGGACCTAGAGAGGCTTTAAAGTACCTTCCTGTTCTAAAGCCGGTGAAAAAGCTTTGTAAATCTTAAAAGAGCTATATGAACCGGAGTTGTTATTACAACCAGTACCGTGTTGGTGTTTGTAAAAACAGGTGACTTACTGCATTCATGCAGACTCCGATCCAGATTGGTGGGGGGAGCGAGGGAAAGGAGAGGGCGAGAGAGGATAGCTGAGAAACAGTGTGAAGTTGAGTGGTGGAAAAGAGACAAAGGAAAGAAGAGGAAAGAGGAAAGATTGTGTGACAGGGAGAGAGTGGGAGGGGTTAGAAGAGGAGAGGAGGGCAGTGGGTTAGGCTGTGTGAAGGCTGCAGAAACTGGAGGAGGAGTCAGAGCAGGGCAGCTTCGTGATGGATGGGGCAGGGCAGGCGATTGGGGTACGGTTGAACACTCACCTGTCTAGTTTTCAAAGTCCAGTATCATAACCAAGTGGTAGAGTGAGCCCTCTTGGGTGTTTGTGAAATATGGGTCTGTAAAACACGGGGATGAGGCCACTAGCCAAGCAGCACAGCACGAACGGGAAAATTTCAGCTACTGTCCTTTGATAAAAATGCCAAGGTTCTCTGGGGGCCTCCTTCAGGGTTCAGGATAGGAAGGCTGGGTCTGGTTCTGCCTGAGGCTGGCGTTGGCTATCTTCCTTGATATAGGAAAGGTGCTGACTGTCCCTTGGACTATGGGTGATCCCTGGTCCTTTTCTCTCCATGAAGCAGTGGCTATACACCCCTCACTCCCTACTGTGTGGGCTCCCTGGGTGCAGTAACTGTGACCACTGGAGCCTGCATCTGTTGAGTGGGCCCAGTTTATCTTTGTTCCTCCTCTTCGTATCTTCATGGAAACATTTTTCCTTTAAATGCTCCTCAGCTAATCACAGCTGTCTCGATGCTCAGTGCTTCTCCCCATCAATCCCCCCTACCTGGTTCTTCTTTCTCTTATCCTTGCCTACCTCCTCCTCTTCTCTTCCCTCCCCTTATCGCTCCCCCTCCCCTCTGTGTCTCCAATCTCATCCGTCTCCCCTCGCTGCACCCTCCCAACTCAGCTCCCCTCCTTCCAGTGCCTGGGACCTCCCTCCACCCACTCCACGCCCCCTTCCCCCTGCACTCCTCTCTCGTCCGCCCCGCCTCCGTGCATCCTCCCGGTTCCATACCAACCCCTTTAATGCACCCCCACCTCCCAGGCTCTTTTCTGTGCCTGGGACCTCCCTCCACCCAGGCCCCGCCCCGTGCACCCTCCCGGTGCCCGGGACCTCCCACTGCCTTGCCCCGCCCCTCCTCATTACACTCCCCCACATACACACTGTCTCCCCCATCGCCGTGCTGGGCATCTCCCCCCGCCCCTCCTCTCTGCACTTCCCCCTCCCCGTGCCCGGGACCACTTCTCCCCGTGCCCCGCCCCCACTTCGTGCACCCTGCCCCCCCCGCCCCGTGCCTGGCCCCTCCCCCCGGTGCCCGGTGGGGCCCCCCCCTTCCCTGGCCGGCCCCGGCGCCGCTCGCACTGGGCCCTCCTCGCCCCCGCCCCCCGGGCCGGGCAGTGACGCGCCGCGGCGGTGCCAGCCCCTCTCTCCGGGCGGCAGCAGCAGCAGCAGCAGCAGCAGCAGCAGCAGCAGCAGCAGCAGCAGCAGCAGCAGCAGCAGCTGTGGGGCTGTCACCGCGGCTCACTCTCCGCAGCCGCCGCCGTCTCCTGCTCCTCTTCTCCCAGCTCGGGCCCCCTCCTCCGTTCACCCTCCCTCCCCGCCCCCCCTCCCCATCCGCCGCCGCCGCTGCCGCCGCCCAGGTACGGAGCCCAGCCCTCCCCCCCAAGTCCCCGCCCCGCGGACCCCTGAGCCCTGTCGCCCCCAGCCGTTGAGCTGCGGTTGGGGGGGGGTCTTCGGAGGGGGTGGGGTGGGGGTGACACAAGGGGTCCCAGGGAGGAGGACGATAAAGATTGAGGGGGAGGGCTTCCTGCTTCAGGAGAGGAGGAAAAGAGGGGAGGGGGTGGCTGCTCTTTGCCTTCACCCCCCCTCCCCTCTGGAGTGTGTGCGTGTGTGTGTGTGTGTGTGAGAGTGAGGGGGAAGGACAGGGTTCTGCCGCGCGGCGGGGTGGGGGGTGGCCCGGACTCCCGGGTGGCGGGTCCCTCTGGTCTCGGCAGAGTGGGCGCTTGGACTGGACTGTGTTGCCTGTGTGGGGGATGGCTGCGAGGAGAGGGGAGAGGAGGGAAAGAGGTGGAAGTGTGTACCTCTGTTTAAAGAGTGTTGAGGGGCTCGTGGTGTACACACACACACACACGGAGCTGAGGGTCCACGCCGCGGCGGGGATGGGGTGGGAGCGGAGTGTGGAGGGCTGCGATCAGACGCACAGTAGAGGTATTGTAAAGCGAACACTTTTTGTGGGGACTAGTGGACTAGTACTCTGTTGGCGCTTAGAGAGTTAAGGACTGTTCGGGGATTGTGGAAGGTGTTTGAAGAGAGGGTGGATGCACCGGGAGCTAGGAGGCCACTCCAGGTCTGCCGCTGTCTGAGGGGAAGTGGCTGCTGGTGGGGGATGGAAGGAGTGAGTGGCTGCCTGGAGCGGGGCGGGGGCGGCTCGGACAGGGACTTTGGTGTCCCCTAGCCAAGGAGTTGAGCTGGTGTTTGGGGAGTTCTCTTTGCCTAGGTTGGGGCTGCTTTGACCCCGAGACTCCGCCTGCGTGCCGAGTTCAGGTGAACTAAAGCTGAGATAACCTGTTATGGTACTCACTGGTGGGAGGTGACTTGGTGGGGCATATATGCTTGGCGGTTTGGTGAGCAGGCATTCCTAAATTAAAGAGGTTTGGGTACGGGGGCGTGGCGTGGCAGTGCGGAGGTTTTGCCTCCCTCGGGGAATGGAGATTGATGGAATTGGAGGAATTGTAAGATGCGTTTTTAAGGTGGATTTACACCTCAGGGGCCGGAAGCCTTCTCCATTGGAAAAAAAATCCCATCCACATTTTGATTCCAGCTGCTGCGGTTCAAAACTCAGCCCCCAAGAGCTGCAGCTGCAGCTCCTCAGACCATCTCCTGCCCCTCTGGAGCTGGGCTTCCAGGGGAAGTTCTCATTAAGCCTCTCTAATTAGCATTATTCCTGGAGAAAGGTTAAGGTTAGATCGTCCTTTTCCTTATCAAGAGCGCCTCCCCCTCCCCTCCCCTCTCCTCTCCTCTTCCCTCCCCTCTCCTCTCCTCTTCCCTTCCTTCCTCTTCTCTCCCCTCCTCCCTAAGTGCACAAAAGCACAAAAAATAAGTGTGAGGAGGAACAGATCAATGAAGGAGCCACAAACCCATTAATTCAAATGGAACCTTTTTTTTTCTAAAACATTGATTTTTCTTTCTGTCTGTGTGCAGGGGAGATTAATAACCTCCTGATTTCACCTGAAATGGTGTTTGAACTCTGTGATTTCCTCCCACTTCTGGTGGAGGGCTGTGCTTATGATAGCATCTCCCTAGGGGTAAAATCCTTCTTATTCCAGATTCTCATGGAAACCCCCTGTGCCCCAGCAGCAGGATAGGTGTTTGTATGTCCTGACCAGCTGGGATATAAGCTGGGCGAAAGACTGTGTATGTAGCCTCTCTTGATTTCCATGTATTTGGATGGTTATGGAAGGATTATTTACATGAGCTGTATGTAGGACTTCTTACCTTTTCAACTCCTGGCCCTCTGCCAGCAGCTGCCCCTGTGACCTTGAGAAATGACTTCCCCTCTGTGGTCCTCACTGTAAAATTAGGAGGTTAGATTAAAGGGTCTCTAAGATCCCGTCCTAGCCCTGTCTTTTTGCAGCTCTGTAAGGCATCATGCCTATATTCTGTTTGTCAATGAGTAGGGCCGGCTTTATGTAAACAGTAGAATAAATGATTCGCTGTTGTTTTAAGCTCCCAGTACTGTTGTTTCTTCATTGGAAAAACTTAAAAGTTGCATCATTAAAGTCAAACCCTTGTCTTATTCTTGGTTCATTTGGGCTTCCTTGAATGTCTTCAATAGTTGAAGGGTTGTCTGTTAGGAGAATGTGTTATTGTTACCAATAACAGCTCGGAATGGTTGCTTAAAGGATGAGTATGGGCAGAAAAGAGGTAGGCTAGTCGAATCTCGAGGATGAGAGACAACAGATGGGCAGCTCAAGTGTTCATTGGCAGCCTCAAGAATAAGAGGAAGGCTTTTATTGTATTGGGTAAATCCTCTGTGGAAGCTTCAGGGGAAAACAGGGACAAGAATTACATAGGATGAGAAAGCATGCCATGTGAGTGAGGCTCAGCTGAAGGGACTGAGGTTGTGTTTAGCCCAATGAAAAGAAGACTTAGGATCAGGAATGAAGGGCTATCTTATGGAAGGAGGATTAAATTTGTTTTGCTTGTATACAGAGAGCAGTGCTAGGTGCAGTGGTTAAAAGATGCAGAGGCAGATTTAAACTCAGTAGAAGGAAGACCTTCCAAATACTGATGATGGTGATTACTCTGTCTTCCAGTGCCTCAGCCTCTTACAGAGGTAACTCTGGGTCTTGGGAATCTGTGGAAGAGAAGAACATGCCCAGAAGGCCGAATATAAGCCCGTGATGGACTATCTGCCTAGCTGTTGCCAGAGAATCGGCTTAGCTAAGGGAGAAGAGGCATCACTAGAAGGCTGGCTACTCCTAAGGCATCACATCTCTTGAATACAGTAGTAATCTGTGAAAACATCTACTAAAACATAGAGGGGTTTCAGTCTCTATCATCTCCAGTCTTGAAGTATTGGATTAAGTAATAATATATTCCATGTATATAGCAGCCCAAAGATCTTCTCCACCATTCAGAAATGGACTGATCTGTCTTGGGAAGTAGTGAAAACCCTAATGAGAGGTCTTTAAGTAGAGGTTGGGTGGTTAATCCCGCATCAGGGATGTTGTAGAGGTAGGGAGAGGTTGGACTAAATGTAGCCTGCCCAGATGTAAGATTCTTCCAGGCTGGCTTTGAAGAACAGCCCCTTCCAACACAGATTTCAGGCCTCATCAATTACTCTCTGGCAATAATAGACCCAGTTGCTGGGTATGTATGTCCTGTGGGGTCAGACAACACTCAATTCAGCACCTCAATGTTGAACAGCGAGAACACAGCACCCAAAGGCATTTCCCAGCATAGAAGGTTGATATTCTGGATCTCTCCCTACCTGGGGTGGATGTTAAACTGGAACATGCTCTTCATTGCTTAAGAACTTTTGATCCTCTTCCTGGAAGGCAAGATCTCCATTCAGGGGAAGTCTTAGGCAGGGAAGTTGCTACAAGTTCAGCCCTAGCTTTCCTCTGAGGAAAGAAAACCTTTCAAAGTTATCTCCTCCCTATAAAGAAGCTATTTTGTCCATACAGACTATCTCAGCGAAGTGTCTTCAGCTTTGATTCTTACGTAGTAGAGAGAAACTCAGACTTTAAGAATCAGGAAACCTGGGTTTAAGTCTCAGCTCCAACACTGACTTGAACAAGTCACTTCCCCTTTTTGAGACTTGTTTTCTTGATCTATAAAATTTGAATAATACTACCTACCTATTTCAGAAGGTTATTGGGAGGAAAGCACTCTGTTCACTTTTAAATGGCTATATAAATGTATTATTGATCATTATTGCGATAATTATTACTAATAACAGCATGAGAGTTGAAATACTATTCATTTGTTTGCCTAGAAAGAATGAAGCATAGTTGGTTTGCATACAATTTGGTTTGTAGACTCGTCCTTAACGTCTTTGGTTTCTGTTATTTTGAGTTATTGTCCTAGTGTACTTACGTGTGAGAAGATAGGCAGGGTGTGATTGCCATTTTTAAATGTCTAACGGACTACCTAATAGAAGGATTAGATATATAACTTATGGTGCTGGAAAATGGAGGAGGAGTAAAAGTTACAAGGAGATAGATTTTTAAAATCAGTAAGTATTTATTAAGGACCTACTGTGTGCCAGTCACTGTGCTAGGCTCTAGGGATGAAAAAATAAGATCATCCCT